CCTTAGTGAATATGCCTAGCCTCAACCTCAAAAAAGCCCAAGATCTTGAGCCTTATGAGCTTTAGAGTCTAGGCGTGCCTCAGAGTGCTTTTAACTACTATGTCTGTGGCCGTAGGAAGCTTGGGTATATTACAGGTGACCCTACACCTCCTTCAACAGATTCTCTCCATAAGGTATGGTAGGTTGAGAATTCAATTGTTCTTRCTTGGCTTTTTAACTCCTTGGACCCCAAATCAACGTATATACTCTGATCTCGGTAATGCCTTTCGGATCTCGGTAATGCCTCTCAGATCTTTAAGGGGGCTTTTTGGTTTGCAAGATTCCAATAAAATCTGATGGAATTGTAATGGTCAATTTCGTTGACCAAATTCCATTCCATCGTTTGGTTTGGCCGTCGAATGGAACTAAATTCCATCAACCATGGATTTCATCATTCCATCGTAGTGAGGAAGGAATTGGATACCATCCTGCCCAATATTCTTAAAATTACAAAATTGGCCTTACTAAACCCTCGAGTGATTAAAACATGTACCTCCCTCGTTCATGTTTTTCACAAACTCAAACACAATTTTCACAGATTTCCCTCAATCTCGCTAAGGATTTGATTCTCCTTCATGCATACATGCATCGTAATGGATTTTGCTTTTATAGTCGATTTTTTTGTTTGTTTTACCGTAATYGAATTTTCTACTTCTATAGTTTTGCTCCAAAATCGATTTTTTAATGAACAAGTTCTAGTTTGTTTCTATTCGATTTTTTTTTTTTTGCTTCAAAAATCGATTTTGCTATTATAAAAACAAGTTCTTGTTGGTTTGTGTTCGCTTTTTCTACTTCGAAAATCGATTTTGCCTYATGTAATAAAAATCAATTTGCTTTTGTTAATAAAAATCGATTTGCTTATGTTAATTTACTTCAAAATCGATTTGCTTTWGTTAATTTATTGATGTTAATAGCACTACCTCAAACTCCTATTAGAAATTAATCCAATGCATAACTTGTGGCATATTTTTTTTGATATTTCTATAGTGGAAATGGTACAATCATTTATAATATATTGTTAAATTTTTTATTGTTTGTACTTGAAAAATAAATAACTATCAGAGAAAGGGTATTTTAGTCATTTTTCATTATTCCATTCCAATTCTTTTGTAAACCGAACAGACATATTCCAATTCATTTGACAGATTACATTCTATTTCTTGCCAACCAAACACTTTGAAATAAATTCCTGAAATAAATAAAGAATTTTGTCACTGTCAAAAATGATAAGTTTCCATTCCTTCTAGATTCCAATTCCTTTTGACAGATTCCATTCCTTCAAAAACTTTTATGCGAACCAAACAGCCCCTAAGATTCATACCAAACTCAAAGAAATTAAAGAAGGAAATAACATTGTCACCCTTCATTTCTCTGACCTACAAGACATGTGGCAAGAACTCCACTTGTATCTCAAAACGACACCTCTATGCACCGATTGTAGCATTGAATAAAGACAACAGCTTGAAATGGAAGGAGTCCTCTACTACCTGACCGGGTTGGACAACAATCTTGATGCCTTTTCTGAAGTTCGTCATGATGAAACACGTCGTTGGGTCATGCTTACTACCTCAGAGGCTCGAAATTCTTAAGGGGTGGAKATCTCTACTCTTGCTTCAATGTYTKTCCTTGTATTCTAATTTCAAACGGGTCTAACTTTTATCATTGACCAAATCGCAACGGGTTCTAAACCACTTGCTAGGAACTTTGGAAAGCGCCAACTGGGCTCYATATCTCCCTAACGAAAGAAAGGCCGATCAAACTCATGCAAGTAGCAACACTAGTACATCAACAAACMTCCCCTCACCCTCCTTCRGTTTGGAACAAATTGAGCATCTGTACACACTTTCTAATGCATTATTTGTGAATTCTAGAAGTACTTGAAGTTTCACATTATCTTGGATAATTGATTCAGGTGTTTCCAATCATATGGAAGGTTTTTATCATTTATTTGATTCGTACAATCCTTGTTCTAACAACTCTTTCATTGTTGTAATTGGTGCAATTAGATTATCTGCATATCTAATTCTTAAATTTGTCTTTTATTTTCCTTATACAAAGTATAAGTTGATCTCGGTCAACAAATTGACTACTGATAAGCATTGTCTTGCCAAAGTTTTGCTCACCTTTTGTCAAATTTAGGATCCATCTTCGAGGAGGATGATTAGAAGTGCTAGGGTTCATGGACTATTTTTTTCGAAGATCAACAACCAAGAAAACAACCTAGCGTATCTACTTCTGATTTCTTGTTTGGTTTTGAATTTAGTTTCAATTCCTAGCAAAGTTATGTTATGGCACTATTGAGTTTTGGGCAATTTTCCATACATAAAAGTATTTGTTTCCATCATCATTTGATAAAATTTATGTCTATTTACTATGCAATACTTTTCAACTTGCTAAACATACATGAACCTCATTTCCTCGTAATTCCTTACACCAGCCAACCCATTCTATCTAATCCACAATGCCTTATGGGGACCCTCAAAAGTTGGTACCTCTTATAGGAAATATTGGTTCATCATATCATTTGTAGATAATCACCCATGTACCGGTTAGGTTTAATTACTTCAGCACAAATCTGAAGCATGTCATGTCTTTCAAAACTTTCGCTGCATGATTCAAACAAAGTACCAAACATCCATTCGTATGTTATGAACGTATAATGGCACTAAATATTTCAATTTAGCTTTGGTCTTGTTTATCCCATGATGAAATTATCCATCAAAGCTCATCTGCTTATACACCCCAACAAAATGGTAGTGTCAAGAGAAAAATTATCATCTGGTAGAAATTGCCCGAGCCCTCATGTTTGCCATGTACGTGCCAAAGTACCTTTTTGGAGATGCCATTCTCACTGCCATCAACCTCATTAACACACCTTGTTGCATCYTTGCTTCCCACCCTAACATTTCCTCAAATAATCATCTCGCTAAAATCTTTGGTTGTGTGGCCTTTGTGTGTGTTCATTCTTAGGATCGTAGAAAGCTTGATCTTAATGCAATTAGGACGATCTTTTTGGATCATTCTTATACGAAAAAGGCTATTGATGTTGTTGTCCTCTCACATGAAAGACTTATGTCTCAAGGGATGCCAGTTTCTTTGAAAACATTCTCTATCCTCCAAACCAAGATCAACAACCTGAGATGCGTGATTATTTTAGAAGACAGAGAAATAATCAAGTCATGAATCCTCATTACGATCAAGAAACCAACACATAGATAGAACCATCATCTCTACCARGTAATCATCACTCAACTGTTGATGAAAATCTAAATATTCCTATAACATTAAAGAAAGGAACAGAGGTCATGCACTCGATATCCTATCTCTAATTTCATCTCTTATTCAAATATGTCATCTTCATTTAAAGCTTTCACCTCTAGTTTATTAGTTGTTGTGATCCCTAGTAACATTAAAGAARCCCTAATATTRTTGAATAGAGAGCAACCCTTCTTGAAGAAATGAGAGCACTCAAACAAATTAGGACTACGAAGTTAGTGGAATCGCCACATGATAAAATGGTGGTAGGATGCAATTGGTGTTTGAAGTCAAGTACAATGCTAATGGGTTCTGTAGGAAGGGACAAAGCTTGGTTAGTCGCAAAAGGGTTTACGCAAACTTATAGAATTGACCATACTGAGACCTTTGGCCCAGTTGCCAAACTCAACACTATTACGTCCAGTTTGGTTTGGATTGGATTTGAAGGGATTTGGAATTGAATTCCATTCTAATCCCATGTTTGGTTTGAAGGATTTCTCGGACTTGAAATCCCGAATAGAATTTTGAAATCCCACGAGGTTGGTTGGATATTTCATGGGATTTCATAGGATTTATATGTAATAATGTTTTAAAATGTGTTAAWAACATTTGTTTCGTAATAATCAATTAATAAGAAAGTAATTATTTTTCTAATCATTTATAAAGATGGAATTCAATTCTATTCCAAATTTAATATTCCAAATCCAAATCCATCGAATTCCAAATCTTTCCATGAAATCCAAATCCCTTAAAATTATTCCCTCAAACCAAATGCCCCCTTATAATTTTACTCTCTCTAGCAGGAAACTTGGACTGGGAATAGCATCACTATATGTAATTAATGTCTTTCTGACGTTGAACTTAAAGGAAGTCTATATGAGCCAACCACTTGGATTTGAAGAATCCCCAAGTGCGACACCTTTTTGCAAACTCAACAAGTCCTTGTATGGCCTAAAACAATCTCCTTGAGCATGGTTCAAACGTTTTTTCAAGGTAGTCAAGGGTCTCGGATATACACAAGACCTTAGTTGTATACTTTCCCTTTATTCGTTGATGTTGTTTCCTTTGTTCGTCTTGTATTCTCCTGTACATCATGTACGGCCATGATAGTAAGTCAGAATTATTCATGCCGTAGTTTGTGTGACTAACTTTTACCAATTATTTCCAAGATTAGTTTAGAGAGCTGTATACTACATATATGAGCTTGACGGATCAATAAAAAGATATCTCTAGACATGTCATGAAATTGGCTTTCTGCATTGAGCTACTATACCTTCTCCAGGACCAATGCTATTGCAAAGGGTTCATGTTCATCAAAATGAGCATCGGAGCACCAAAGTTTCTAAACTAAATGAAGTATTAGGCCGTAGTTCTATTTTCCTTCACCTTGTAATTGATTACTTGGTTATTGGCTTATTTATGACCCTGCAAGATTTAACCTGTTATTGTTCAAGCGAGAATATTTGATGAATATTCCTCTTCATGTTGCTTAATAACGCATCAGGTTATAGGCGTTGTCTTGAGATTCTTTTTCATGGCTCAGATATGTGCTAGCCGTTTCCTTGTGTAAATTCTTTGAGCTTTACATAGGAACTTTTAAATGTTGTTTTTAATTAAATTCCCTAGGCTTGTTTGTAATTTTACTTTTATTCTGCACATCTTGATGTTGCTATTGTAAAATGGTCTTGTCATATATTCCTTGGCAGTGTGGTCAGTGAAGATGTTTTATTGAAGATACTTAATCTACCGATACTTGTTGTACTGGATGAAGCATACATTGAATTTTCTGGACTTGATTCCAAAATGGGATGGGTGAAGAAGCATGAGAATCTTATTGTTCTTCGGACGTTTAGCAAAAGAGCAGGTATATTTGAGATTTTCCTTTAACCTTGTTTCCATAATCATGTGTGACAGAATGTTAGAACCATTGAGCTTCGAGTATGTGAATTTAGTTATTTGATTATGGTAATTTTTTAAAATATTGGTAACTTTTCTAAGTTAGGCAAACATATGATAAATATGTTGCTGCATGGTGAACATGTTGTTTAGGTTATCTTTTGAACCATGCTATCAAATCAACTTGAATGGTTGTTAGTCTTTATTATTACCTTTGTAAGTAAGCAACAACGAGGTGATGCATTATGTGTTCATTTATCAAGATTTAATTTGTTTGTGTACGGACATGTCATATATAAACGACCTTATTGTCAACATACTTAAGAATATTTTTTTAATCTTATTATCTGATCATATACAATGATTGAAGAACAATTCATAATATTTTGAAGTGCCATAAATTGTGGATAGCCAATGATGTACTCTTATACACAAATTAGAAGAATGCTTAGGATTGCATATGATTCTCACTAGTAAAATTGGTGAATTATGAATACAAGAAGGTAATCCAGCATTCAAGAGGCTGGGCTCTCCCAACGCTCACGCCAATTTAATCACCAAAACAGAATCCTTCTCCCACACCTACTCACATCGGCGGCGGCAGTGACGGTGGCGATGATGACGTAGGAGATGGCGGCAGCGGTGGCTCAAGATGGCCGTCAAGTAACGTACCCCTTCCCCTCAAGTCTCGATCCTCTTTTCTGTCTGTTCTCTTTTTTTTCCCTTCCTCGATATTTTCTCTCTGCTTGTATCTTCGATTTCTCTGCACTCACATCCAACTTCTTGGTATTCCACAAACTTGATACTACTACGATGCACCACTTTAATCTTCTCCTCCACAGTCGATCTGAATTGCCTCARCAGCATCAATTTGAGATCATCCCRTCTCCTCACCGRTCCATGACTATTCTCCYAACGAAACCAGCGGAGAGCAATGCCCTCAAACGCAAGGATCGGTACTTCARTMTTTTCTTCATCAYTCAATTTGTTCACCRTGAAACACTGTTCCGCCCTCGATATCCAACCATCCAAATTGGTTCCATCGAAATCGGAATCTCCAATCTCTTTCCCCTAGCTACATAAAACAGACACCCATCAGACTTACCTCCTCGTTCTCCTGTATGCTGCTCGATGTAAACACATCGTTTTTTTTTCTGTTCGACAATTCAATAGATTGATATGAATTTTGTAAAGATGCAGTTTTTTCAGTCACTCTAGCCTCTTTCGGAATATTTATAGCGTTTTTTTATATATAAACCTGTTTATTCATCTTTTCAAAATTTGGACTTAATTAATTAATTTGCTAAAATGGGTCCTAAGAGATATTTTTCTGACAAAAAAAGGGTATATATGATTGGTCATATAATTGGGGTTACATAGATGCCTTTTATGGAACATTCTTAACTGTGAGGATGAGAAAATTGGCCGAATTCGCTAATTTTTTTGATAGACGACTAATTGATGGAATTCCAAATGGAGCTGGTCTTATGAGTTTCTTCGAGGTATCAGATTGTTCGCTCTGTCCAGCTTGTCCTCCTGCAWTTTAATTAAACTATCCAATTGCTTCTTGATTGTCTGCATATCGTTCTTCAATGAGCCAAGTACAGATCGCACATTTCTTGAGCTCTCTCCCATTTCATCCACATGAGTCGTGATGCTTCTGGTTATCGTCCCCATTCAAACCTAGCTCTTGATAGCAATTAGTGTACTCCTATACACAAATTAGCAGAATGCTTTGGATTGCCTATGATTCCCACTAGTAAAATTGATGAATACAAGAAGGTAAACCAGCATTTGAGAGGCTGGGCTCTCCCACGGCTCACGCCAATTTAATCACCAAAACAGAATACTTCCACTCCCAAAATTCTCTTACTAAAACTACTCCCCATTCTACCTCTTTACTCCTAGCGAAACTTCTAGAGTGTAACAGTACTGACTTTAGTAATTATTAGACATATGAGTCAGCCAAACACATCTATAAATTTATAAGGCCTCCAAGATTGGTATTCTTTCACCTTGCTTCTAATGATTGGTTGAGTGTTTCCTGTTAGATTCTTTGTGGTAAGTGATTCTCCTTCTGAAAGAAATGAGTTATTGTAGTTTGTTTATGGGTTATGAGTTGTAAATCCCTTCTTGAAACATTGTCCACWCTTGCATTGAAAATGTCATTCTTGAAACACTAATGATACTTGCTAGTTATGATAACCTTGGTTGGGTTTTGGTTATGTACATATATATTTTATAGATGTTAAGGTTTTGCTGTCTTGTTTTTTAAGTTGGCTCAAAGGCTCATATCTTCCCTATAAATTTTCTTTTATTCATTAATGGAGGAGTCACATATTTAAAACTATATTACATGGTATTAAGTTCATTTTTAGGTTTGTGGTCTCCAAGCTTCCCATATAAGTTGACCACCATTGCCACTGTCTATTGCATGGCTCAAGTTAATGGCTGTCTGTCGCTGTTGCCTTGGCTATGCTGCTCCCACATCAGTTGACTGCCTTGGCCTTCATCATCCTCAGACATCAGCCTACTATTTAGCCTATATGTGTCGCTTCTGTTCCTACCTTTAATAGAGGTGTATAACCTCGTTATGCCTCATCTTGGCTTACGTTTCTTAGTAAGATGTGTTYGACTAAGACACTATCTGGACRTGATGCCAAGCCTCGCCTTTGCTGCCTGGGGATCTTGCTTCACTGGAAGAGGAGGTCAAGGAGGATATTGAGAAAAGAAGTTTCAACTTCACTTTTGCAAGTGTTTGGCTTTTTAAAGTGGGATTGCTCTAATTACCCTTGAGGGATCCTTGTCTCCGCCTCTTCATCCAATATCGATTACTTCTCCTCTTTTGTGGGCTGACATGCCCACCACCTCTACTGGTCTTCCGTCTCTGTAATCTACCGGACTCTGAATACCCTTAGAGGATTGGTGTTTCCGACTTTTAGTGCTAAACATTATTAGGTACCTCATTTCCTTGCTCTATTTGCGCCTCATGGAAAAGTGATTTAAGAGCATGTGATCATACTAGTTGGGTTAACACCATCTCTATTTGATATTTCATCTTCGTATCATTCCTATGTTTGGCTAGATAGCTAATGGCTCCTTATGTTTCATTGAGGCGGCCCATAAACGTCTGAGGCGTCGCCTTTTCTTGTRTTGATGATGCATATGCCTTACAAGTGTGAGGCGGTGAAGAATTGGTGAAGCTGTGAAACGATGAAGATGCACCCGGTTTTTAATGGGGTAGCATTCTAGTGGGTTAGAGTCTAAGTGCATTAGAGTTTTAGTGCGTTGGACATTTAGTGGGTTATTGATACCTCTGTTATCCATCTGCACGTGGATATGTTTTCTTTAATTTAAATAAATGACTAAAACGGTCAAAACCCTACTATTATATTTTTATAACAAACAAAAATGGCAGCTCTCTTTTTCAGACCTTACGACTTTTCCTCATACAACCTCACAACTTCTTCTCTTCTCATTACAACCTGCTGCATTGGAGACTTGTACCAACTGTTACATACAAGTATTTTCTTTGAACCTGCTCCTACATTTATGTATA